TGCTCCGTTTCTCGTTTGGTAGGACTCATCAATAATGATCATTCTTTGACTTTTTCACTTTTGTACTTCTTAAACGAATTTTTTGGTGGACGGTGGGGTAGCAGGGCTTTTTTATGAACAGTTTTGGGGGAGAATTAAACAACCTTTTCATAGTTCGGCTTTTGAAGAGGGTCGTTTCATGGACTTCGGCCTCTGGGGGAGGGAGAGGAGGGGGTCGTATTTCCAATTTTCCTCGACGTTTCGCTTGACCCTGCTCTAATCGTTGCTGCCCTTCTCAACGCCGACGTCTTTTTTCTGCTATATGGACATAGTCAAACGGCGGAGGCATGCACATCGGAGGTGTGGCGCGGCCTCGGCGTGAGCGGTGCGGGTATTACTTTGCTGGGCCGCTGGGGCGTGTACTTTTCGCCGCGGAACGCGCATTATTCCGCACCTTTAGAAGCCCATCTGCCTTTCGACTTATTTTCTTCTTCCTCGGTTTCCGATCTTATTGTGGATCCTCCTTTAACACGTTGACGACAGGACGATACGCTCGTGTGCGTCACCGTGCGTCGAACACTCTGGCGCGCATGCGCGTCAGCATCTTGGTACGCCTTTTTTCCCGCACATGTCCAGTTTTTTTTTCGAAATTTTTTGTTACCATTCTATAGACAATACATTATCATGCCTTTTGTGAATGAGGTGGTTCATGGAGGATTAAATATGCTATCATAATATATTAAGTGAAGGTTTTCTAAACCTCACTAAATTTTCAGTTTGATTCAATCTTCGACTTTTATTTCGGAGTAAAGTGCAAGTCAAAATTAATGTATAAATGCAAACTACACTACCACACAATAATATTAAGGAATTACGACTATATTGATGGCATAATTCGTGTTTTTTACTGAGCAGTCTACACAAAAGACTTTTCCATATTTACTGCAGCGCGGGTTGACCCTTTTTGAATTTTGAGACCGCAAAGAGGTCCTTGTTCTTAGAACATGCTAGTTGCTAACATTCTAGACATTTCCTCCAGTTAATTCTTTTGAGCCTTTAGCTACTTCTTTTGACGCATGTCTTTTATTTCCGTAAAGCATCGCGGTTTCTGTGACGTCTGTGTTCTCTGGAACGGCCCTTGAAAAACCAAGGAAGGCTATTAATCTGTGCTGCATCGTACCGATATCCGCATCAGGTCTCCAAGGTGAACAGCCTCTAGTCGATAGAATAATGTAGGTAAGGGAAGTCGGCAAATTAGATCTTTTTCTCTGGATCAGATCGCATTTGGTCAGAGCAGTTGGCTGTTGCGAAGTCCACAATAGCTCTTAGGTTTACCACGCTGCTAAATAGCATCAAACGCGGTGACACCATCCCAAAAGATTTGACAAGCGCTCATGTGAAACTGTTGTTCAAGAAGGGTAACTCCAGTGACGTGAACAACTTCGACCTATACCTCCGGTATAAGAGTTCCTAAAGCTATCACACGAGTTATCCTTAGTCGCATAGAAAAACGTCTAGAAGAGACAGAGGGCTCAAGTCAGGTTGGATTCAGAAGGAAACATTCCACTCTCAACCACATCCATGTCCTCAATGAATTCGCTCAAAAGAACACTAAATATAACTTCCCTGTCTATTTTGTTCTCGTCGACTACGAAAAAGCATTTGATAGCCCGGAGAGGTCCGCAGTATGGATGGCACTTGCAAAAAGAGGTGTACATTAAGAACTGATAGGAATATTGCAGAGATTTTACGGATCTTCTTTCACGTCCCTTCTCGTCAACTCTCCCCAGTCCAAGTAACCATTAAAAGAGGCGTCAAACAAGGACACACGCGCGAGTCCAAAACACTTTAGTGCCACCTTACAGATGGTTCTCGATTCTATAAACTGGGGCGCGGATTAAGGATTGGAGGTACCAGTCTTGAGTATGCACATGACGTTACGCTACTGGCTTCATAGCATTCTATGCTCGAAGAAATGCTACAACTTCTGATGAATGCATCCGCTAAGGTCGGACTTCTGCTTAACCTGAAAAGTCAGCGTTATAAATTAGCCTAGAACATCCAGGCACCCAATCTGTTTTTATGGAAAGACTTTCAGCTTTGTTGATCACGCTTCACCTTGGCTGCCTTTTCTCATCCCCCCTTAACCGACCAGCAGAACTTGCACACCGAATTTAGTCTGGCTGCAATGCTTTCAGAAATATATCGAGTATATCTTTTGCAACCGGGCCGTTTTCAACCCACTCAAGAAACGAGAATTCGAGTCATGTGTTACGTCATCAGTGTTTTATGGAGCGGAAACCTGGACCAAGTCGTATATGGCAAATTTGGCGTAACACAAAGGAAGATGGAAGGAAAAATGCTAAATTTGACCGTGCTGGATCGGTGGAGTATTAAAGAATAAGATCACTTACGAAGCTCAGCGACTGGACAAAGGAAGCGAGTAAGAAGAAAATACTATGGGCCAAAAAGATACGTGAAATGGACGAAAACGAATGGGCCCGCAAGATAACGACATGGATTCCATACGATTACGTGAAGCAAAGAAGAAGAGGACATCCTTACATCCGATGGCGCGACGACTTGAGGAAACAGATTGGGCAGAACTGTTGGAGTATTACAGATGAAGAATACAGACAAGCCATGATATCGCATTCGAATATGGATCAATTAACTTTCGTTCACGTTCAGCTGTGATTGAATCACAGCTGAACCTCGCGCTCGACGTTCAGCTGTGATTCAATCACTTCCACTTTAAAGTCATTCATCCGAAGAGATAGTGCGACCATACGCATTCCAGCGATTCATGCATGCCACACGAATCGCCCGAGCCTACCCCCTTCCTTATCCCCGAACTGTATACTCCCCCACAGTCACAGATTCCCCCGTTTTTTGCTGATGTTAAAATTAGTATTTCGCTGAGAGGGTGCAGAAAAGCAGCGCGTCTTCGCCGAAAGCCCCTTCTCCCCTACTAGCGTTGTACTTTGTTTTGCTACTTTTCAGTTTTGAGCTCCGAAAAACGCACCTCGTGGGACAAGCTGACGCGCTTGCGCGTCAGGCAAATCGTGCCCGCCAATCTGCCATGTCCCATGCGGCGAAAAAGCCAAAACCTGCGTTGTCGTCAACGTATTGAAGATATGCCCCAGGACCAAATTATTGTGGTTTTTGCACATGAATGCGAATGTGTTGGTAGGCAAAGGGAGGAGTAAGAAAAAAGGACCGTGGTAACGCTTAGGTTAAAATCATTAAGATTAATCGAAGATCTGTGCGAAGATGCGCTGAACTCCAGCTTGCTCAATCCGTCGTTTGGTCGCTGAGACTGATGCGAGCGCACTTCCTTGCGAAGCCTTTTTTGCAAAAACCTTACCTGGAAGTTTTGCAAGCATAAAAATGCCTAACGATAAGATTTGATCGATGCGTGGAAATTGAAAAGATAGCAGTGAT